TCTGTTTTTGTTTCCTCTTTCAGTTCATCGCTATTAGCATAAATTCATTGTTGTTTTTAAATTTAAGCACAAAGTAACTTAAAAAGTAGTGATAAAGTAAGTAAGAAGAGAAAAAAATGGTCGAAAATGGCAGTAAAACTATAAATATAAAAAAAATAGATTGATATTTATGCTGTGCAACGTTTCGCACAACTTACAGTTCAAAAGAAGCTGAAGAACACTATTCAGTTCGAGACAATAAAATGAGGTCAATAGTGATGGGTAAATAAAATTGGCTGATTCATAGAGAATGTTAAGAAAAATCTAACAGAAAAGAGAAAAGTAAAAAAAAGAAATTATAAAAATTATCGTTATTTTTTTTTTTTATAAAATTTTTATTCAAAAAAAAGTATATACATTAGGACATTTTAACTGTAAGATAACCTATTCTTTTAGTTTTAAAAAAGTTAATCAAGAAAAATAAATTAATTGTTTATTAACGCTTTTCATTTTTTTTTCTACTAACAGTTATGCTAATCATTTGCACTCCGATCAAAAATAACTGTTAAAACGGTCTGAAACATTGATCTGAGTGCTTGATTATTTGTCAGAAATAGTTACTACAATACAGCAGCGATTAGTTGTCCATCGATTGATATTAGAATTGGTCTAAAATTGTTTTGGTCAAAAAAAGATTTTGCTATGTATATTTGCTTTTTTGGTTATTCGTTTATGATCTGTTTCAAGTTTATTTTTTCCTAGTTTTTTTTTTTTTTAACTTTATTAGCTGTATTTTGATCAGCTTTATCAACTGTTTTGAGGAATTTTTTTGGCTAATAATTGAGGCACTAGTTAAGAATTAACAAAAAAAAATCTGGTATATTAGTTAATTGCTGGAAAATCGTTCGTTTATATCACAATTTGGATAGCATTGTGCAATATCCGGTTGATCAAGAAACGGTATCACCAAATGATTCTTCGGGAATGTTCGTGCAGAACGATTTTCTGCCAGCTCTATCAAATGTCGAATTTCTTCAATTTTCACCTTCTTATCCGGTTTCCATGGCCAGCCATCATAATTATTTCCACAACGTGATAACTCAATATCTTTCTAAACAAAATTTTTTCAAATTATTATCATTTCACTTGACAATCTGAAACTTCTATTTATTTGAGAAAAAAATCTTGTTCTGATTAATAACTAAAACAACCGTTTTATATGGCATATTAAAAACGTACACAGCAAACTATATAGAAGAGGAAGTAAGTGTAAAGAAAAAAGAATGCAAACATAGAATGGTGATGCCCAGTCATTATCTCGGACAGTTTGAGATTTCCATCCATGAATCAGGAAGTCACGCTCAGTCCATAAGCCACCAGTATTATACCAATCACGACAGAAGCCATGAGCTCGCCTTAAAAGTTTTAGCCTTTGTGGCCAAATTCGAGTAGCTCCTATGGAATAAAATTAGTGATGCAAAGAAAGGATTGTCTTCAAATCCATTTTCTGAAGAATATCCTAATAGCGCTCAATAAAACACTAAAAAAAAGTTGGTTGTAGCTTAAAACCTCTGCACAACTTACTGTTATCAATTATGAAGTACAAGAAGACATTACTCAAAACCTAATTTAAAATTTTCTCAAATATTACCTAAATAAAATCGAACACATACAACAAATGGTACATATGTATCATAAGCACGAGCCTTTAACCAAAGATTTCGACAATTTTTAACTTCTTGCGAATCGCTTGGAAGAATAGTTTCTAGAAATACCATCTGTAAAATAAGAGTCATTTTTTAGATCACCATCAATCCATATTTTAAAGTCTGCTCTTAACAAAGTGATTACCAAAAAACAATTTTATCATATTTTATGCCTCTTTCTTTTTTCTGTTTAGAAAAACAGTACAGGTCAAAAAAAGCAAATATCAAATTTTGACATTTTCTGATCAAAGCATTTTATATACTAAGAAAAATTGTTCTCTAAGCTTTTCATCTAAACACTAAAAAGTAGAAAAGGTACAGACGTACATGTAAAGCTCCATTGTCAGATCCTGACCACCATAAATAGTCTATAGCATTTCGTCCGTAATTTGCCCAACGTAACAAAAAATCTTTTGCAAATTGTGTGTTTCTTACCTAAAAAAAAAGATTTTTTTTGTTTTTAGTTTTTTCTTGCTGCAAATAGCTGTCTTCTAGCGGTATAATTTAAGTTAAAAAAAGACTATCAAATTTATGACATATAAAAACGTGTATGCGTTATAAACTCAGTGTTTTCATATCCAAAGAAATCTCATATTCTCAGTTGTAATTCAGTAAAGTCTATTTATTTCAGTTATTCTGCCTAAACCGTGTAATTGCTTCAAAGAAGACTGCAAATTGAAGCTCTAAAGTTTTGTCTCCAGTCAGTACTGCTCTCAGTTTCACGCCAAGAACTCTGTTCAACATGTTTACTAGAGAAGTTATCTGTATTCATTACTGCATTAGATTTTTTTCATATTTAATAGCTCAATCAGTTATGCAGAACGATTATCTTTTAATTAAGTAACAGAAACATTAAAAACAAAGTTGCATTTGAAAAAATCAAGGTATTGGTAAAGTTAATTTAACAAATATCTTTCCAGGGAGCTATCAATACCATTTCAGTTAAATGTGCTCCATCATAAGGCTAAATAAGTTTCACATGTGTTTTCTAATAGCTTAAATACAATCAAAAAACAGTGATGTGCAAAAGCAAAAGCAAAAAAGAAGAACTGTAAAAAATTGATTACTTTCTTTAGAAAATTCTCAGCTGAACATTAAAATACAGTTGCTCATTTTGTTAGCTTTCTCTAGTGCCCGGCTCTCTAGTTTACTTCTTAAAGCTCTGAAGTTGCAAAATTCCCGTGACATTAACTGGTAGCAGCATTAAACTAACAAGCAAGTCTACGTTCAAGAAGAAATTTTATAAATTTTAGACGGTACTGTAGACCGGAAAAACATCTGTGTGAAAATTTTTTCCAAAAAAAACTTACAAGATAATTTCCGCTAGCTATTTCCCAGTTAAAAAATCGTTCGTAAAAAACAATATCAACTCTGGGATCAATGTATTCTTCAATACAGTGATTCGGATTAACCACAGACGTATCAGCGTCCAGCACCAACATCCAATCCGTTTGGTTCAGATAGACGGCAACAGCACAGTGCTTCCGAAAATGTACCTAAATACTGAAATTCATTTCCATTTTGAATAAAGATTTATGATTCACCTTTTAACACCGCTGGCAGTAGAGTAAGTGTTTTTATAAGACTAAGTAAAAGCAAAAAAACAACGTCATTAAGTGAGACATGTAAAATGTCGCAAAAACAAATTTTTTTTTGATAAATTTTGGCAAAAAATTCACCTGTATTCAGTTGATTTTGAATAATTATCATATATTTTCAGAGACTCTTTAGCTTTCTTTGACGCAATTTAACTAATATCAGAGCCTATCAGAAGCAATTCTTTGACCCTTAGAACCATAAATTTTTGTGATAAAGATGCTAAGCTAAAGTTAAACATTAATACATTGTTGAATGTTGAAGAGGTACAAGATAAACGTTAGTAAAATAAAGTTTTCAGGTAGGACGAAATGACGAAATGTTCAGGCAACAGGAAGAAATTAGCACATTATTTAATGAACCATTCTGAATTTTTCAGATTTGTTATTTCCTTCTGATTATGGGCATAAACAAAAGAAAAAAAATTTCCATAAATGATTCTTTTCCTTTTTGTTATTGAAATTTGAACTATAATTATTGCTTTTTATAAGGCTAGACCGCATTCCTCAAGACAAACAAGACTAGTTCTTGATGTCTAGAATGTTGAAGCAAGAATACTGGCATCAATGTATTGATGGTTTTTAATAGAATATAATCTTTATTATAAGTTAGGCATGAATACAAATAAACAAAAAATTTATGAACAAGTGTAATACCTTTTATATAATCTTTGGCTTTATCTAATGCTTCATGTGATTGCTCAGTTTGAAGATACACTCAATCATTACGTCAATGTAAACCATTTATGTAATTACATTAGTACGCTTAGCTATTTCACCAACACTTATGCAGCTTTCTTTATTCAATTTAAACTTTTTTTTGCTCTTTATGACAGATTAAATTTGTGCAACCAAAAAACAATATTTTTAATCAATAAATTTAATTTTTAAATCATCGTTAATTACAGTTCACTAAGTTAGTCTATAGATTATGTGAAGAAAAAAAATAAACAAAAAACTGCTTTTCAAATCAGTTTTATTGGCCATCTTTAATCATAAAGCTGGTTTTTCGTTGAGTTGTTCGAGAAGAAAAAAAAAGTAAAGAATGCGGAAGTTGTTTTGATAATTATTTTTCAATTTAATTTTGCTACTGCTATAAAATAAAGGCTGACTGGTATACTGACTGTAGTTTTTCGAAAATCAGCGACAAATCAGTCTTGGGTATACTACAATAGTTTTCAGTTCAACCAAATGCTGTCTGGTAAACTATGAAAAACCAAGCATCAGGAAACAACTCCTCAATTTTGTAAATTACGTTAGCAAACTTCCTCATGCGGGTGCAAAACTCTTCGATTCTATCTAACCTTTTTAGCGTTTCTGACTACCGTTGTTAATGCCAAAAAGCAATGTTAGCACATAAACACGGCAGTGGGATAACACAGCGTAATCAGAAAAAAAATGAAGAAATGGTGAGCAAAAATTGGTAAGAACTCGTCTCTTATCGTTTAAAGAAAAAGTTGAATGCATCATAGAGTTTAAATAAATCTAAAACATGAAAGTTAGTGGTCAACAACGTATTTCAGTTAAAATAGACCAACTTCTACGGGTTTTTTTGGTTGCTATATTAGTGAGTCAAAAATATCATGGCGATCGTCGCTTAACTGTTTTTAAAGTTAATTCCACTAATTGAGAAAAAGTTTTGCTAAACTACTTTTGATAGATAAAAAATATTTTATTAAATTTTCAACTATATGCCGAAAGTTTTTTTTTAATACTTTTCGGAGGTCTTAAGAGCAGATATGTTTGTAAAGATAACAGCACTATAGCAGTACAGTTGAAGGGCACTTAGATAAATCAGAGAAATGTCCAGTTTTTTCACATGAAATAAGTTTAATTAAATATTAGAATTTCTTTTGTATAGTAATAAGTTAATAAAAGTTTTTTAGGCTTATTTTAGCAATTTTTCACATAAATTTTTTATACTCTCAAACTGTTGATTTCAGAGCATAGCAGCTGCATAATTTACTCGTTTAAGCTTTTATAAAAAACAGCATATGGTTTACCAAAAACAGTCAGACAAAAACTACTTTTATTCTTTCTAATTTTTCTTTTTCTAATCTTTTTCTGCTTATTCTAGTTGTAAGTACCTCAAAGCGTAAAAAAATATAAATTTTGTGACTGCTTAAGCTTTATTTTTGATACTCCTCAACTATCTTCTCTCATTTTCTTTTCTAGAAAAACAAATTTTACTCAGTATCTTTTTCTATCCTAGAGCTTTAAACAAAAAAGCATCTTTAATGTTTTCCCAACCTGAGTATATTTAGTGCCTAGCAAAAGTTGTCTAAAATTGGGTTTGACACTTTAAGGTTTAAGTTTAGGCTTAAGCTAAAATCGTTGTAGATATATTATCTCTCTATTTCGTTGTCTTTTATTCACATAGATCGCTGAGAATACTACTGAGAAAGCTCAGTGTTGAAAAGGACTAAAAAATTTTTTTGTTTGAAGTCTGAAAGCAGCTCAAATATGAAATTGATATACAGTTTATTGTTTCGTAGCAGTATAATGTATAACATCTGCAGGCACGTTCATTTTATTTTTCAGTTATGAAGTTGTTTTTTGTTTTTTTTTTTCTTAAAGGAACAGTAATGTGGTTTGCATTTACAACCATTAAAAAAAATATAACTAATGTTCGTTTTCTAAAGTCTAATTTCCTACATTGTTATACAGAAATATATCAATAAAAGAACTTACTGCAGACGACAGGTGAAGTTACGACTAAAAAAAACAAAACTTATTTATAGATTTTACTTGGACTGTTTTATTTTGGAGGTTATCGTAGTTTTGTAAATCAATTAATGTTTGGTAATTTCAAAAGCTGCACAGTGTCAACCAGTACAGCCTTATTTTCTTATTTCTCCAACATTTGTAATTATCAAGCAATTCAAGGCAGCTTCAAAACTGTATTTTAAAAAATATCTAAGCTTAGCCGATACTATTCAACAATTAGTAGTTAAACTATGAGAAGTGTTTCTTCAATGAAAAATTTCATTACACATTTGAAGAAATACAGAAATATGCAGGAAGAAAACCTTAGATAAACCTAATTTAATTTTTGAAGCTAAGTGAGAGGCAGGATTTATAAAAGTATAGTAAAGAAAAAAAACAAGTTTGTTTTTATAACCGTCGTTCTTTTTTGATTTGTGAAAAAGAGTATGACAAGATGGATTCTGTTTTACAAATTTCTTCAGATTTGTCGGTTACTAACAACTGATATTCTCTTAATAACAACATTTTACTATTTAGACTCAAAATGGAAACTAGGAGTTAATTCTAAATACTAATAACTAGTTCTGATTATGTTTGATACGTCATCCCTATGCTCAATAAGCTTTCGGCTATGAAGCTACCTAAAAAGCTTAATTATTCTTTGTCATCACTTAGCAATTAAAATTACACGCTTACTGGAATAAATCTAAATTCAAAAACTGTCAACTTTAATTTATATAATTTTTCAAATGTAATCAGGACAAAAAAAAAAAAACAATTTTTTATTTTTTCGCGTTACAACCATATCAATGCTGAGCATTCAAACAGAAGCTTAAAGCTTGGTCAGCAGTGTCTATGAAAACTGAAGAATGGAGAAGAACAATGCCAAATTATTAACAGAAGCATTGCATAAATGCAAAAATTCGGTAAAATCTAAAACCAAAAAAAAGAATAAAATAAAATAGCATAAAACTTCGGACTTTATCTTACCATAATTATATTCCCACATTTTTCGGACACCAGTTCATCGCTATAGACGTCGACAATTTTTAGTTCATAGTTTGTAGACGATATGTAACACCGTACTGTATCCATTGCAAGTTTATACATGCTAAAGGTCTATCATTATCTGAGTTAGATTGGTCAACAAAAGCTAGCAAAAAATTTCCTTCTTTTTTTTTTTTTTTTGAATTTGAAAGCGACTTACACTGCTTTATCTACCGACACAACAGTAAACGTAAATTGAAAATCTTTTAAAACGTTATTTATAAATGTTTCGACGACCAGTTAAGCACAAAATTTTTGTCTTACTTTTTTTTTACAGCCATTGCTTCGATAGCTATAAAGACTGTAATTTTTCCATATAAACTTTTACATTCTTCCATATTTTTTCTTTTTACTGACGATTTTACAGGTACAACTTGAAAATCTCTTCCTAAAAACTTGCTGTATTTGTAGACTTTAGTGTTGAAACAAATATGCTTGTTCAAAGTGAAAGCTTATAAAGTTACCTGAGAGAGTAGAGTAACAATAAAGAACAGAAAAGTAAATTTTTTTTCTTACATTACTTAAGTTTAAAAGTAGAAAAAAAATTGGGAAAGGAAAACTTAGTGGTTGAACTTTGTTTGTTCACCATAAAATAGTTTTAACAATTTTGTTGTTTTTTT